GACACGGGGCCGAGCGAGGAGCGCCCTGCCCCAGGCTGCCTGCGCCCCGCTCAGGTGCGGTCCCACTGCCCAGCTGGTTGTCCCCCGGCAGCGCTAAGTGCAGCGCGGGCGTGTTATTTGTCCTACAGAAACACAGTGAGATCAATGGCTAATTGTTGGCCAGGTTTATAGCTGTGACTCCTATAGCCAGCTCGTGTTTATGTTACAACTGCTCGTAGCTTTCTCCTCTTACAGGAGCTGAATGCAACTTTATATTTCTAGTCCCCTAGGGCTGGCCTCATGTCAAGAAAATAAGCATTTTTTTCTTGCTGCAATTCTGTGGTTGCCCAAGGCAAATAACTGCTCCATCGTTGTGGGATACTCTTGTCATGTTCTTGAGATTTTAAAGGGAGACAATTTGCCTTTTCTCTCTTACGAAAACAGTGATTTATATTTGCCATTGACTAGTGCAGCACAGCATGCAAAATGACATAATTTGCGAGCAGTCAGGAAGAAATGTTCCTCAACTGCATATAGCTATTGAATGTAGTGGCAATAGATCTGTACCGCTCCAGACACTGCACAGTAAGTTCTCCAGTGTTCCTCCCTGTCCCCCCCAGTGTCACTACACTAGCAAAAAAAATTGTCCCTAAAGGTTTCTGAAGTTTGCCATGGCATGTACTTACTCTTCACCTCGGCAGGTCTCTCGTTCGTTAGTTAAACCTGAGGTACTGCATTTACATGTGATTAAATGTAGCTCCTAGCAAAAAGGATATTATATGTGTTTCTGCTTATCTCTGACAGAATGGTTGGCCTCAGTTTGGTCTTTCTAAATGTTATTTTCCTAACGAATAGAATGGACTTAGTGAATCCGCAATGATGTTGTATTGTGGTGAGTGTGAAAAGATGTATTGACTTGTCTTTATTCTTAGAATTGCTAGTAATGCTCTAATTGATGTTGTGAGCTTTAATTAGACATAACAGAACTTTAAATGTTTCAACTTATAGGCTCCTTCGAGTTAAGATGCTTTGAAGTCTGTTAGCACACAGTGCTCTCTACAAATCTATAGTAAAGGAACCAGCAGCAGTGTGTATTATGTAACAGAAATTAGTTTCGGATTCTCAAAGCATTTAGAAGTAAACATAGAGCCTCACAACATTCCTGTAACTAGTTGCATTGCATTCTTATTCATCAAAACATTTAAGAGTGCTCTTCCATATGATTTCAGTACGTTTGCTGAACAAGTCTACAAGGTCTTTATAGCATAGAGAAGGTAAATTAGTTCTGAAGTTATGTCATGAGTGTGTATGCAGGGAGAAAGAGTACTGACATCTGCTAAAGTCTCGGATATCTCTTTTGTTTCATGTTCCTATTGCACTGCAATTGAAATGTTGAAAATATTTTTACAAGAGAGTATTTCAAGAGTAAAATATCAGTGCTGAAAAGCAGGGTTTTCCTGATCTGGAAGCCAAAAAAATTTCATAGAAGACAAAGTCTCCCATTGACATTAATGAGCTTTGGATCAGAGCCTACAATAGTTTGTTAGAGCCTAAAATGTAAGCATTGACTTGTGCAGGATAATAACACTTTAACTGAAAATATTTTTCTAGGTGTAAGCACAATAAATGACTTGAGAATTGAACGTTCACTGCATGCTGAGGTACTTTGTATTATTGCAAGTTTTACACGTCTTCCTAGTTTTAGAATGATTACAGCAACAGCAGCAAAAAAACCCGAACAACCCACAAAACAACAGACAAAGCATAACTGAATTGTTTCTAATTTATTTTAAGAAAATGTCATTGTCCACCCTTAATGAATCATTTTGTGAAATTGATAAATCTCCTTTTATGTTCCTCTTCAATAAATGTCACCTCCCAGAGCTGAAAGATATTTTTTATTGTTTGGAATTGTGTAGTGTCAGATCCTACCAACATGTTCACAGTTTCCCTATGGGGCTGCTGCTAAAGGGAAAAACTATATACAAAGGGAAATTTCCAAATCAGCAAAAAGTAAAAAGCATATCTCCCATAGTTAAAGGCATGATAAACCTGAGCTGTCATGTATTGATAACTGATGTCTGATAGCTTAATTTTATCTTATTGCTCTAGATCAAGGACAAAGTGAATGGTATTATTAATAGAGCCCTAATACTGAGTGAACATAGCAATACTAATTTTATGTAAAGTTTCTAACTAATGCAGAGTGCAATAAAAATGTCATGAAGATTAATGCTTGGTGGAATTATCTAATGCCAGATAATAATTTATCTTCCAAAGTTGGCTCCAGGATAGATTCAGACTGGCATGTTCCAGGTGAGAGTTTTGTTCGTTTCAGTTGTCCAGAGAGAGAGTTTTAATTCTTTTTCCGTGTCACAGGTATGACATCAAAGATGACTATACTTTGCGCATTAAGAAGGCCATGAGCACAGATGAGGGAACCTACACGTGCATTGCTGAGAATCGAGTTGGAAAAGTGGAAGCTTCTGCTACCCTCACTGTGCGAGGTGAGTGTTCCCCTGGAGGGAGGACCTGTCCCGTATATGGATAAATTGCTTTCTGATGAAATGGGCCATGTCCTTACCTGGCATTGTTTGGGTTTCACATACCCTTTGCAAAGGTGAAATACTGATCCTGTGATGTTTCAAACAAAATTTGGATTGACTTCAGTAGGATAGAATCTCCCTGCAGTTAAAGAGCTGTTTCAATGTTTTTTTAATTGAAGAACAGATGCATATATATGCATAAGCAAGCACTTTATAACCGTGGGCATAGACTTTAATATGTGAGCCATCAGCTTAGGGTATTATTCACCTTCCTTTCTCTAGTAAGTATAAGGAATATAGTAAGTAACCATGTTTATTAATGTCAAACATAATGCAGATGTATTTGTGTGACTAGCTCTGCCATAATTAAACTCTACCATTACTCTTCATCTGAAAGATAAACCCTAGCCAAAGGAAAAGAAAATTCTAATTAAATTTTGTAAGTATGACAAGGTAAAGACTAACCTATTCTCTTCTAAAATATTCTTGGTCTCTGATATCCACTCATTGTTTATGTGCTACTGTTTGATGTGGTAAGGAGGTTTTAAGACTGGTAGAATAATGAGTTGCCAAAATGTCTTTTGTGGCAGAAGATACAGACATGCTAAAGATTATGGGGAGAGAAAAAGTTTGTAGGCAAGTAATTCCATATGAGTAAATAAAATATAATAGTTATTACTTCATTCCAAAAGATAAGCAGCAATTTGGCACAATGGATATCATGCAGACACTATTTCACAGTTTAGTGGTGCATGCTGATGGTTTTCAGTAGAGCTGTGAAAGGTTAATAAAAACATTTTTAGCTTTATCTGTCCTCCTCTTTTCATACACATTAAATCAAATGTTCAAAGTCTCAATGGATTGCTTTATTAGAACTGGGGTCAACTGACCCAAGAGGCCAGCTTCCATTTCCATCCGTTTAATGCATGGACACAGTTCAGTTTAATTTGCTGAATTCAAAGGAAAAAAATAAAAGAACCGAGTGGCTTTGCTGGGGGGAGATGTTAGTATATAACAAAGAAAAGAGATTATTGTGATAATCCATCTGCTAAAGTATTACCTCAGTGTTCACTTTAGACAATAAGTGATAATGCAGCTCTTCCCATTTTAAGCTGAAGAGATGGGTTTACCTGCTATATGCTTGTGTAAGAGATTGTTCTTAATTTTGTATTATAAGAAAAGTAGTCACCACAGGGAACTCCCAGATATCCTCTCACTCTGTGCCTTGTGACAGGCAAAATCTGATAAATCTGGCAACCAATTCACTAAGGCTTTATACACTCCTAGACCTATGTCCACTGTACACATACTGGAGCAAGCCTTTCAGATCTTCTACCTAGAGTTGTGATATAAACAATAGCTAGAACCAAGCAAAAATTCTTTGAAATCACTGAAGCTTGAACTTGATGAAATTAAGGTGAAAAAAACCCCAAACCCTGAGGAAATACATAATTTAATAAATTTTTCTGCAGTAAAAGCAGATTTTCATTATCTCGGGTATTCCCCCCCGTTTTGTCATTTACAGTCAAATAGGTAGTGTTTATCCAACACAAAGGAAGCCACGGTATTATAAGCATATTAAATGTTCAGGATACGACAGAAAATGACAAAAGACAAGGAATTCAACAGAGAAGGCTATTACTCTGAATTTTCTGAAAACAAAGGATGGGGCAAACTCGCATTGACTTTAACGGGGCCACAAACAACAGTCTTTTTAATTAAAGGAAGCCTTAATTCTGAATTCTTAAGCTTTTGCCAGTTTTGTCTGAAACCACTTTTACCATAACCGCTTGACGTGCAGAAGAGCAAAACCAGGTGGCATTTCAGAATGTACTTTGAGGGTGCCTTGCTCCTTGCAGGTGCTGCAAACCCAGCAACAACAGCATAATCCTTAGCTCCCTCATGCATGGCTCCATCTTCTCAAAGCAAGGGATGAGGACTCAGTCAGGAAGTTTGTGTTCCAGAGTCGCAAACAGCAACAGAATTTGCATTCTGTGACTGAGCCTTCATGCCCTCTGTTGAAAGATGCATGTCACTCTTATTCCTCATCTCTCTGCAGAAGAAGGAATAAGTCCAGAATACCAGAAGCCAGGAAGCCTTCAAATAGTTTAACTTGAAATAGTTAAACAAAGTGGGTATGGCAAAGTAAAATAAAGCCATAGAAAGGCTGAGAAATAAGGTGGTCCTTGCACACATACCATGTTACCTTTGAATGTGCATATATTGCATTTGACCGTAGCCTCCACAGAAGCATATACAGCTGGTAAACTTCTTAAAAAGGAAAAAACAAAAGAAAACCAAAGAAAAACATCCCTGTGCTGTTGCTCAGAATCGTGTAGCTACTTCTGCTGCTGAAATAAGGCAAGTTTTGCCTACACAGTTGCAATCTGGAGTCAGTGTTACGTCCAACTTTTCAACTCTTCTGAAAGGGGATGTCTTTATTTTATTAACAGAGGGACTGACAGGCTTCTTCCCCAGCACAAGTATAATGAAGGGCTGTTGCTATAATCAAGAAATCAACTTGTTGCAGCAGCAGCAGCTTTCAATCTTTATATCAGCCTGAAACAGTATTAAACTGTCGATCATTTAGCAGCAATGTTTTTAGGAAGCAGAAGTTATCTAAGCAGTGATTTGGGAAGTTCTTGCTTGAAATCCCTGCGACCATTTCAGCCTATTTGTTATATTTTCATCAGCACTGTCAGTGAGGAAAAAGCAGTGTGCTGTAAGCTTTCACACCAGTTATTGAATGAGAAAAACTGTCCTGGGCTTTCTGAAGCCCTTACTGCTGTACTGACTGGTCATGCTTAAAATTCAATTGGTATTTGACTCAGAAAACAAACACCTTGCATTTACTGGCATATGACATTTGGCAGTCTGAGGCTTAAATTGATGTGTCCATCTTGATCCCAGAGTTTGTGCTAATGCAATGCAATTTTTCTTTTATCAGGCATTAACAATGATTCTTGATGATGGCATGTGAAGATAATAAAACTGTTTCTCAGAGAATGGTTCCAGTCAGCTTGTTTAGATGCTATGCTCAAGTAGATGTGATAATAGTGGCACGTGATTAAACAACAAGTAAACGTTGTACTTAGGCTGTCATTTGAGGGGTTAGCAATCATGGTAGTATCCATAGTAGAAGGTAACATTACACGTCATGCATTCTGACAGATATTCTTTTCTTTTTTTAATTTCTTTTTTATGTTCTCACTACACCATTGTAATGTCAACAGCTCGCCCCGTTGGTAAGTAACCATCCTTCTATCCATTTTAGCATGGCTTCATGCAATGCTTCATCTTTCATTTGCAACAGCATTTCACTGGCTGAAATTAGCAGCCAGAGCTTAATAGTTTTATCTGTCTAACCCCAGGCAAGCGATTTTGACTGACAAAGTGCTGTTTCCAAACTTTGTGTTTTCTGCTGTGTCGTGTGTAAATGCGTTTGCCAAATCACCAACAAATACCCATCAGCTAAACAGGGTGGGTGTGATGATACAGAGCCAAAATCACTCATTCGGCTGTTTTTAACAGTCTTTCTAAGGGCCTGGTATAAAAGCCACTGAAATCAACAGAGAGGATTGTTTTGACTTCAGTGAGCTTCTACCAGGCCCTACATGATCAGCTCATTATGCTTTTATTGCATAGCAGTAAAAGCACAGGCTTTGCATGTCCTGTCTTACTTGTATCTTTCAAAGAGATTCGAAATGAAGTGGTCCTGAAATTGAAGAGGGGATGGAGCAGATTTCCGTGCTTGTTACAAAAGTTCATCATTGCTTTTTGCCCGTGGATCATCGTGGAGTGCATCTTGGAAAGCACTGTATAGGATGCAGATTGTTTGGAATGACAAGTCCAGAGGAACGCAACCTCTGGATTTTTAACTCGCACACTGAAAATTTTACTTGTTATTCCTCTGCCTTTGAAAGTACTTCTGAAGATTCATAAAAATATGACTGAGTGTAATGGAAAATTTGCAACTCGCAGCAGCTGAAATTCACTTTTGGTGTTCAGAAACACCCTGAACAGATTATTTCATTCTTTTTCATGGGTGTTTTCTCTGTGCCTATATGAAATTTCTGAATACTTTCACTAGTTGCACTGCTCTTCTGATTTCTGTAGCTTCTGTTTAGATGTATCCTTTCTAATAAGGTTACTCTGGTTTGTTTGGATTAGCATGAGAAGTCTGTACTGGGTTTTGTGGAGATTGCTGCGAGGGTTGGTCTTTAGTCGGAACCTTTGTTAGATATGTTTTGGCTAAAGTTTGTGTTCGAACTTATCACAGCTCTTTACTATTATTTACTATATATTTATTTATTATTTACTGAATATTTACTATTATGAGTTTGGAGGAAGAAAGTTTAGAAGAATTTAAAGGTGAAATCCAGGTTAGGCCCCTGTTTCAAGAACTAATGTGATCCCATGCTTATTAACTTGCTTGGACTAGCATACATAGAACCAAGCGAAGTAGCTCTGCAGTCACAGGATAGCTTACTGACATCCGGGGAATTCCCTATGCAGAATGGAACGTCACTGTTCTCTAGTTGGGATTTTGATAGCAAGCTTTAAGCCCCAGTCACTACTGTGTTACTCTGGCATTATGCTAGTTCTCAAGAACTTAGTTCCCAGGAGATGTAACAGTGTAAATCTGGAGTAAACTCATGAGACAGTTTTCCTTTGCTAGAAACTATAGTATGAATTCAGTATACTTGCATTGTAAATCTGTCATGTTAGAGAGAGGGGGTTTATGGCTAGTTCTTAATTTCTTAAGAAAACTCTACAGGATTAAAAGTATTTTACTTCTAGATATTTTTCTCACTTTGCTCACTTTTAAAAGAAAGGCAAGAAAAAAAACATCACGAAGTAGAGACTTTCAGGCTCTGTGAAAGCCACATAAAATAGATGATAGGAGATTCACAAGAAAATGATAGGTTTCGCCAATTTTGATGATATCTTATTTCGGAACCCTGATTCTTTTTCAAGACCTTTCATTGAGTCATTCATGATTCCCTCTCTAAAGCTTATATAAAAGCTCCTGGTCTCAAGTCCTTATGTCCAGGTTTATGGTCCCCTTGAGTAACCATGCTGTTGTCAGTTTGGCGTATTCCCTGCCTATGCTATTTTATATTGTTGCAAGTGAACATCTGGTACAAAGAAAATTCTTCTTTTACATGGTTTATTCAGGGAACATAAATTAGAACAGTTGATCTTAAAATAATTATTATATGGGCATATGGTCTTTATCAAACTATTTAATTTAGTGATTATCTTGTGACTTGTGAAAAGATTGTTAAGTAAATAAGTCCAACCCCAAAGATATTTAACATACAGAACTACTGTACAAGTGTGTGTGTAATTGCTGTGTATAAGCAGATCAGTTTCTTTAGATCACTTTCATCTGTTCCTGTGCCTGCAGAAAAGGCAACGTTGTCCATACAGTAGTGTATACCTTTATTGTCTTTTGCTTAAGGACCTGAAACGAAACTGATCCCTACAGTTCACATCTCTGGTTCATTCAAAGAGTAGGCAAAGCAGGCAGCTGCCTATCCTGGTTTTTGAACATTTAAAGCCCGGTAAGGCAAACCAAGGTAACTTCCCTCTCCACCACCAGTTTCCCACCAAGAAGCCCAAGCAATTTGCAGTTAAAATTGCCATTTGACAAGAATGGTGAGTCAAATCTTGTTGCGTTTCCTTTGTTCAGGAAGTTTACCAGAATGCAGAGCAAAAATGCTTCTCCTTACAGAAGCGAAGCTAAGGCAAACACTACTCAGTGCCAGTGAGCTCACAGTTCTTAACGAGGCTGATGTTTTAAGAGAAGTATATTTATGTAGTTATGTATATGTTAAACTGCAAGGAAGCAGTTGAAAAGTTTATATTCTTTTGTAACACCTGAGAGTTATCTAGGTACCTCTACCTTTCATCACGGCCTCCGATTCAAAGCAGACAGGTTTCATCTTTGTTGTGTTTTAAACAAGACCAAACCATTTTCTTTCAATGGCTTGTCACTGAAGAATAGAGAAACGTAGTTTTCAGTGTTCCAGGATTGCAATTCTTTTGCAATAATTTTCTTTTTGAATAATTTTCATTTTCTATTTGGTTTTTCCTGTTTCAAATATTTATATTCTGTCAGTTGTGATACTTTTATTCAAATTTCAGCTTGAGTGGAAAATTCAGGAGTGGGATTACCAATGACCATGTTTGGTTCAAGCAGTTATTAACATATGGAACATACTACATAGACAAAACGAGGTATGGCTCTGCCCGAGGTGGATGGCAGCTGGTGAATTTAAGAGCTCTGTGCCAGATTACTCATCATGTTTGGATTTGCTGCTAGGCATAAATGTGCTACCCATTTCTGAAATAGATGTTCTCTTATTTATAACCTTTTGAAAAGATTTCCGACAGGATTTACAACAGATGGGTTTAGGAAACAAGATATTTATCCCTATTTAGACCATTTTAACTCATTAGATGGATTTTCCAGATGAGCAAGTTAGTGGTTTTTTCACTTTTGCATTCTGCTGTATTTCTTCTGGCACTTGGGTGGGGAAATAGCTGCTAAAAGCAGCACAAAAGGTGGGAGGAGCATAAGTTTCATATAGTCCCACTGAAAGTAGCACTGACCCTCTTTTCAACAGCAGTTGTAATACTGCTTTGAGAAGGGAGACCTGAAGTTCAAATAAAAGATCTGTGAAGGTCTGTCCGATGTTTCAGTTACCTTTTTACTAATTATCCAAGAAGTCATTCAGGTGACAGAGTACTCAGTTTGCAAACTGATTTCACCTCCATCCAAGTGAAAATACAGTTCCTTATATTTCAGTTGCCTCGCAGAGTGTCAAGTTTAGGGTTATCTATTGTCATTTGCTATGACTCCTCTTCCCAGAAAGAAGTAACATGCAGCAAATAAATAGCTAGATACTTTTGCTGCCTGGGTAGGAATTAAGTATTTGGAATTCACTAAGGAAATAATGGGAGACCAAGCTACAAAAACTTCACTTCCCTCCCCTGTTAAAGAAGAGAGAAACAAATAAGACAGCTCCCATGAATTTTCCAAATTCCATAATAATTAAACACAGTATGTTCACATTTAAGTGCAGTGTGACTATATGATGGATTTCACTCTGCTTTGGGAAGTTTTCGTGACATAAATCAGCCTGGCATGACTTAATGATCTGTTAAGGGTGGTGCAGCATGAAATGTAAAAAGGAAAGGGCTGTATCTTAAAGAAGCATTAGGTGTTGTGACTAGAAATTATGTTGTTTGTTGTTGTTAGACGGTGCAGATTGGTGAGAAGCATCTCGCTCTATTCTTCTCTATTCTGACTCTTGCAGGGAAAGTCTGCGTAGGATGAATGCTTTTCTTTTTAGTATGTTCATGAATATATCACCTTCACTAGAGACACTGAGGATTTATAAAATCTCAGTAATGGCAACTGGTGTGTGTCAGAAGAGGTGAGATCATACTTGGCAGTGGCAGAAATCTCAGATCTGTGTCACAGTGTGGAAAATAGCCTGTCTGCCTGCTACCACCTATAGAACTTTTCAGAAGAGAGGAAGGACTCCAGTGGATATCAGGCTTTTTGGATTTGTTCCTTCCATAAGTGAAAGAATAATGCATCGTTCTTGTTTAAAAATAGGCAAATTCTTCAGATTATAGAGAAAAGGTTGTCATAGAATGAAATTCAGATATCTTTGTATACCATGAAGAGCTAAAATATGCAGCTGACTTGTCCTGACATTTCTTAGCCTTTTGAAAACCAGACTAAAAATCCTAAAGTCCTTAGCATTTCTACTTTGGCAAAAGTCCACTTTTGCCACTGAATGTAAACTTGAATCCTATAACGACTTCCGATATCATAGAAATATGTTTGCAGTGTATAGGCCAGAATGGCTCAGCAAGTGGGCACTGAGCACTTCAATCACCAAGCATTTAGGTACCGGTCCACAGCACTTGGCTTCAGTTCCAGCTGCTCCAAGTCTTCTTGGCTATGCCAGATAGCAGTCAGAGCAGAAACACAGAAGATCTGATAGAGGGTTCTTCTCCATTGGTAAGTGTGAAAGATAGCACTATATGTACTGGAAGCTTTAGCGTGTCATACTGTGATAGGCTCATTCCACTGTGGCACCAAGTACGTATTAGTACTCATACTAGAGAAAACCCAGTTACAGCAAGTGCAGGAAGTGGTCAAGCACCAATATTTTGTTGCTGAACTCCAGCTTGGGAAGGTTTCAGGAAGTTCAATGTGTAAATC